AATGGTGATTACTTGCAGGTGGAAATCCATGCTGCTTGTCAAGACTGCATTTGAAGAAAATGACTGAGCTCTTATCCGACACATACAGAACAGCCAGTGTTCATACGCAAGATCACATTACAGAAGATTACTTTGGAGTTTCAGCAATTTTCCTAAATTACGATGGCCTTTGGTCTCTGGTAAACTTGATTGACTTGAATGGTTTTCATTAGAAAGTGCAGTTAGAGTGTTTGTTGTACACAAAAGTACAGAGGCATTCGAGGGTGAGCGGGTGCAGCTGGGACACTTGAGTGGACAGATATGCAAATCCTTCTCTTGTAAGTGCTTCATYGTGTTTTTTGAAGGAACACAGGCTTTGCTTTGATTCACGACGCCCATCAGTATTCCACACTCCTGACATTTTCCCACAAACATTTGAGGTCATTTACACAGATGTCTTTAAAAGGGACCTCATTAGGAAAGCAACATAATTTCTGAATTTATTCAATCATTCCTTTGAGTTCCCAAAGATGTGGCCAAAGGAAAAAAAGAAAAAGGCAAGTATGTGATTTTCTGATAGATCTAGTTGGCACTGTCAATAAAACAAACGTCATGTATTTGCATCGGTGTTATGTTTAAACTTTGGTCCAACTCTTCTCCTGTCTCTCCTTATTCACACAGATAGAAACTGAGAAATGGAAATGRCAGTTAGATGTCAAAAAGCCTGAACAGAGAATGACAAGAAAATAGCCATGAATAACATTGACCACCCTTAATACCCTCCCAGGAAAATACTTAAGAGAGGCATCCAAAGTGAAGAGTCATCGTATACACAACGTTTATCAAAGCCAGCGATGTTCCCCACATTCCCTGCAGCGATTTGGCTGCCTCAAATGTGAAACCAAAGAAGTATATCTGTAAAGAATTAAGAATATTTTCTGCTTCTACACATTGAACAAATGTACTACCATGCAAAGGGAACATATTGGTTTCCTAGACCTGGAAGTATCAACTCCAATTTGGATAGTTTTCTGACATTTTATATTCATTTGTGACACACTAATAACGGTGTACAGAGTTAGTCTGTTACAGGGATCTCTAAATGTTATATTTTTATTCCTTTTCTGAGTAAATTGTGTAAGTTTTTGATGCCATCTTGAGGAAATTTGATGACATAGCAAGAACTGAACATGCTGAACATTAAGGGCTGCGGGTATATAGTGGTCAGTGCTGCAGTCTTATAATCCCGAGGATGCAGATTTGAACCCAGGTTGCATCAGGAAAACTGAAAGAACAACTTCAGCTTCAGCAGATCAAAGGTTACATTTCCAGACTATTGAGTGTTGCTGCTACAAGGATTAAAAAAAAACGTGATCAAAATACTCCCTCAGAAATAGATGTTAGTAGATAAAAGATGATTCATTAATACTTAAAAAAACCGACTTGTCACAAAAAGTTTTTCTTCTTATTTAGTTGAGTCCCCTTGGCGAGGTGAGGTGTTTTGGAAATACAGTTCTGTCGTACCTGTTGTAACTCTTTAATGACCTCAGGTTGGTGAAATTGTTTACTTTCTGACCAATTGAAGAACAAACTACTGCTCTATACAAGGCAAAAACCAAGATGGGTTGCTGCTGCCTTAAAATACAAAAATATGGTTTTCATGGGATGCAGGAAGACTGAGGGGCTTTGACTTTTTCTAGGTGTCTTCACAGATCATTTCTTCATTATTTATTTACGTTATGAAAAATATGTATAAACTGTAATATGTATGCTCAGAGGGTAGAATTGGTTGAGAAGTTAGGTGGGTTATTTTTATTTTATTTTATTTTTGTGCAAGATCAGGAGTAGGATTAAATAACCATTTGCGTCTTCCTACTCTCTTTCGGACATGTTGACTTTACTGTTTTTGTTGTTGAACTATTGGGTTTGCTGTTGTACTTTGTTTTGGTTTATTCATTTAACTACTCATGCTTATTTCTTTCTGTTGTTTTTCTCATGCCCGAAATAAATTATTAAATTAAAATCAACTTTAATTAGAAAAATGTCATGGCTGAACACAAGAACTCTATTTAATAAACCATTGTTGTCATTTTCATGTAACATGATTACTCCAGCATATAATTCCTACCAGAAGCACTACAGCTGGATGTTGCTTCCCTTTTATTCGAACCTTCCATTATGTGGATCAGTGGTTATCATCCAATGAGAGAGTCGGAAGTTAAGTTCATGCAGTTACATATTGAAGTGTCCCTGGGCAAGACTGAACACCTCAATGGAGATGTAAAGGCTTGTAAAATAGCTTATACAAACTGTAGTGTAATTTTTGAGGTTGGAGTTGTGTTAAGATGTCAGCAAGTCACTTTGGGTCCTGACTGGACTAGTCATTAGCTTCTCATTTTGACTTAAAGTACATTATTTATCTAAAGTGAATTAATTCAAAGAGTATATACAACAGGTTAGTTGTTCACTGATCACAGTATTTCCACAGAACCACATTCAAAAGATCTAAACTGTAAATTTAGGCATGTTTGGGTTACAGACACGTTATATTTTAGATGCCTTAATTAAAACTATGCACTGAAAACCAATGTTATCATGACCAATATTAGGTGACAGTGACACGACAGGTCATTGTGTTAGGCCTAACATGTTTTGCAAGGAAAATCTGGATTTGGCATTCACTTGGGACATTGTTGTGACACGTCACCTAAAGCATTTTTACAGAGTCACACAAGGCACTACCCCTTTAGCAAGACAGGAACAGGTGCTGCACTCAAGGAACATGATCAGGAGTCTAGAGTTGATCAAATACCAGTACTCAAGATTCTAATTGTGAAGGTGTTTGTGGGATGCAAGGCCAATCCACACACAGATACTTCATCTAACTATCCAACATGCACACACACACACCAGGTAACCAATATATTAGGATACAACATTTTTTATTTTATTTTTTCAAATTCTAACTGGTCAAAGCTATTACAATGACAAAAGTTGGACCTGTTCAATTACCAGGAGGTAATGTACCATGATGTAACGGCTGTGTAGTGCATAATCACTGTTTACATTTATTTTCACATAAGATCTACTGCTTAGTGAGTTACTTTTTTTGTTCAAATATGCAACGTTGGTTTTAAATGTCAGCAAATCTCAAGTGGTTTAAAAATATACCTTGCCCCACTTAAATCAAAAATAAAATGCACAAGAACTTGTAAATTTCTTCAGTTTCATGAATTATTACACTGAAACATTAGAGAAATGTGGTGGTTACTTTTTAAGATGTCAGTGTTGGATCCTGTTGAAATTTGAAAATTGCATTGGTAATGTAATGAGGGAAGACATACAGCGGGTAAAATAAGTTTTGAACACGTCACCATTTTTCKCAGTAAATATATTACTAGAGGTGCTAATGACATGAAATTTTCTCCAGATGTCGGTAAAAACCCAAGTGATCCATACATACAAAGAAATCAAACCATAAATGTCCAGAAATGAAGTTATTTGTAATAATGTGGAATGGCACAGGGAAAAAG